AAGACCATGGGGGGGAGAAAGGACCATGTGGAGGAGAAAGGACCACGTGGTGGAGGAAGACCATGAGGTGGAGGAAGGACGATGGGTTGGAGAAAGGACCACGGTGAGGTTCCCTGGTGGAGGTGGCAGGGAAGGTCCATGGGGTGGAGAAAGGACCATGTGGTGGAGGAAGGACCATGAGGTGGAGAAAGGACCATGTGGTAGAGGAAGAACCACAGGGTGGAGAAAGAACCACGTGGTGGAGGAAGACCATGAGGTGGAGGAAGGATGATGGGTTGGAGAAAGGACCATGGTGAGGTTCCCTGGTGGAGGTGGCAGGGAAGGTCCATGGGGTGGAGAAAGGACCATGTGGTGGAGGAAGGACCATGAGGTGGAGAAAGGACCATGTGGTAGAGGAAGAACCACAGGGTGGAGAAAGAACCACGTGGTGGAGGAAGACCATGAGGTGGAGGAAGGATGATGGGTTGGAGAAAGGACCATGGTGAGGTTCCCTGGTGGAGGTGGCAGGGAAGGTCCATGGGGTGGAGAAAGGACCATGTGGTGGGAGGAAGGATCATGGGGTGGAAGAAGGACCATGGGGTGGAGAAAGGATGGTTGAGGTGGTCAACCCCATGAGATGGTCATACTGGGAGCCCACCTAGATCCTTGAGGTGGCCAACCCCATGAGATGGTCATACTGGGAGCCCACCTAGATGGTTGAGGTGGCCAACCCCATGAGATGGTCATACTGGGAGCCCACCTAGATGGTTGAGGTGGCCAACCCCATGAGATGGTCATACTGGGAGCCCACCTAGATGGTTGAGGTGGCCAACCCCATGAGATGGTCATACTAAGAAGCCAACAGGATGGTCATGCTGGGCCACCCAAGTGGCCACCCAGTCCTAACTGGGAAGAACTGGGGTCCCAGAAGGCCGTGGGGCGGGAGAAGAGACCACCCCACCGGTACTGTTGAGGTTCTCCAGCCACCCAGAGAAGGTCCATGGGGTGGAGCAAGGACCACATGGTGGAGAAAGGATGGTTGAGGTGGTCAACCCCATGGGATGGTCATACTGGGAGCCCACCTAGATGGTTGTGGTGGCCAACCCCATGGGATGGTCATACTGGGAGCCCACCTGGATGGTTGTGGTGGCCAACCCCATGAGATGATCATACTGGGAAGCCAACAGGATGGTCATGCTGGGCCACCCAAGTGGCCACCCAGTCCTAACTGGGAAGAACTGGGGTCCCAGAAGGCCGTGGGGCGGGAGAAGAGACCACCCCACCGGTACCGTTGAGGTTCTCCACCCACCTTGAGCTGAACCCCAACCAGGTTCTCCTACGCATGGGGCCACCTCCAGCTCCCGGTGGCTCCTCCCAGTAGCCCGTGGCCAAAAGTGGGGTGGTCCCCACCCCACCCCACCCCATTGGGGGGGTGACCCCACCCCACCCCACCTCTTGGTGTCACAGTGGGCGGCCGTCAGCACCCAGGACCTGTCGATGAGGACCCCACCACAGTGGATGTTCTTCTGGGGGCCCAGGAGGACCACCTGGTAGGGGTGACGCTTCTTCTGGCAGCTCCGACCCCCCACGATCCGGTTCTCGTCCCCCACGGCCGCTGGGGGGAGACGTGGAGATGGGGGTCAGCACCCCAGTTCCTTCCCAGTTTCCCCCAGTTCCTTCCCAGTTCCCTCCCAGTTCCTTCCCAGTGCCCTCCTAGAGCCCTCCTGGGCCACCCACCCC